TGATGAGGTTGACTTTGGAAAAAACACGTTCTGAAATTTCGAAATTATCGTACATTATGGGATTTTCATTATTGATCGTACATCGTACAGAGGTCAAAATTATCGTACAAATACGATAATTATCATACGTCTGGCAACGCTCCTGGGCTGAGCTAAATTCGTGGCAAATTTGAATCTGCGCACATACACACACGCACACACGCACACATTACACTAATGCTGCATTCCAAAAAAATTAATAAATAAATAATGCTTCGTTCCAGACAACTCAGATGTGGAATATTTCCCACCACAAACCCGGAAGTAACGTCTGGATTTAGTAACATTTAAAGTAGGCTACTTGGTATTGTTACTAATGATTAGTAGCATTAAAACATTGCAAGTATCTGTAAACATTAAAAGAGCGTTGTTCCATAAATTATTTCCGGGTTGAAGTGGGAAATATCCTAAATCCGAGTTGTACCGAATAATGATTAAAATGAGCATTTATTTGCAAGACAAGGTTAAAAGAGTAGTAAAATAAACAATGCATCATTTAAAGTACATGTATGTACAAATACTATTATTTGACCTTAAAAACCTCACTTTAACCCTCACATGATTAAAGATCTTCAATAGGCTAAAAAAACACTGACTGGATGATTTGTGGTTCAAAAAAATTTTTTCCCTATTTTTACAGGAATAATCTGTAAATATTAAATAACATTTTATGTAAAATTACACATTACTCTGTGAAAATACAGAAAATTTCCTTTTAAAAAACAGAACATTTATGTAATACCGAAATACAATAAATTATCTGTACATTTAATGGTGGAACTTTAAAATACAGAAAATATCTGTAAAACAATTACATTCATCGTATAGAAATTTCTGTAAAAAAAATACAGACAATTACCTGTAAAATAACTTTTTTTTTTTAACAGTGTAGGTGTAACTCTGTGAAAGTTAACATGACACATTTGATAAAGACAGGTGGTCTTTTAGAGAACGTCCCCTGAATAGATAAAGGGTAACAATAAAAATGATATAAATAATAGACAAGGAACAAGAGATTTTTTGAATGTCATAAGGCCAAAATTACCTTGAATCACATAGCATAAAGGGGTAGATTTGAATGGCTTCTTTTCAAGTTGGCCACCACCCCTCATATTGAATTTCGCCATCAAGGCATTTGACATATTTAAATTTACATTTAGTCATTTAGCAGACGCTTTTGTCCAAAGCGACTTACAAATGAGGACAATGGAAGCAATCAAAATCAACAAAAGAGAAATGATATGCAAGTGCTATAACAAGTCTCAGTTAGCTCAATGCAGTACACGTAGTAATTTTTTAACATAATATAATAAATAAAAAGAAAACAGATAGAATAGTAAAAGAATAGAGCAAGCTAGTGTTAGATGCCTTTTTTGCTTTTGTTAATCGTATAATAAAAAGAAAACAAAAAAGAATACAAAAAGATTAGAAAAACTAGTGTTACTTTTTTTTTAAAGAAAACAAGCAGTAAATTAATAGAGTGCAAGTCTAAAAGGGACATTTTTTTTTAAGGATAGAATTAGAATATTATAGAATTTTCAAATTAATTAATTGAAAACAGCACTCAAATCCAATCTAGTGACATCATGAAAACAAACAAATCATGCTTAAGCAGCTGGGTTCAAGAGTCCCGACGGGAGGCCTTTCTGCATGTTCTTCCTGTTGACGTGGCTTTGCTCTGGGTTTCAAGACATGCAGGTTAGGTGAACTAAAGATTCTAAAAGAAGAAAGTAATAAATATAAATAAATCCATCAGCTCTAGAGTATTTCCATCAGTAAGGTTATTTTCCATTCTGATATGTCTAGGAGTTAGATGATGTCTTAAATAGCATATCCAAGAAACCTACCTGCAAAGCTCCCTGAGGAACTCTACTCAAGTGCACCGAGGGCAAAACCTGCTTTAAACACAAAGGATGCTCACACCAAATGTTGATTTAATTTAGTTAATAGAAGTTAATTGATAAAGAAAATCTATGTATGACATTATTTTTGACAGCATTCTCATTTTACAGCATTTTTACACAAGTGCCTAATACTTTTAACAGTACTGTCGCGATAATTAAATAACTGTCTAATCGTGATTATTTGATTTAACCAACTGCGATTATTGTGCTTTTTATACGACACAAGGGGGAGTCATACACCAAAAGAAACAGAAGTGCACCAGTTTGCTTTTCATGCACTGTATAGCCTATACAGGGCTCCAAGCTCATTCTTCCCACTGGTCGCTCTTTTGCAACTAACTTTCTCAGCTGGTCGCACAAGAAGATGATTTGGTCGCAATATATTTATTTATTTATTTTTGCGCTACAACATGGGATTGTTCAATGCATGCTGATGAACTTTTATCATAGTTTATTCACATTCAACCCGTTCTTTATCATCAGTAGTATTATTTGTGATTAGAATTTTGTGAATGGGAGTTTCTCTTTTGCTGTGTTAAGCCGCTGGCTTCGGATGCTTTCACTTTCGAATTCGCGATCTTGTTGTCACTGTTTTGCTTACACATCTACACACCTTTAATTTTTTTTAAGACTAAAACAAAAGATGGATTCTTTTAAGAAGCGGTCTTTTACTTGACTTTCGCTTGAAAACCATTCATCGTTACCTTCAATATGCACGTAATTTTTGCTACGCGCACCTTCGCGCTCGTGCTAACGTGGCGAGTATACTCTCTAAAGCCTGTGTTATACTTTCCGCGTCCGCGAGTCCGCTAGGGTCCGCTATGGTATGCGTGACGTAAAAATCGTCATCGGTGCAATAACTCTGGGCAATTCTTTGTTCACATGTTTGTTTGTTGTTCATGCCGATCTACTACGCATGTATGGAACACAGTTTCGGTAGGATAATTGCAAGTAGTCCGCGTACGCGTCCGGATTGTACGCGCAGAAAGTATAACAGGCTGTCGAAGTGCTGTTTCGTTATGCTTTCAGTTTCGTTTGCCGTTTGATGTTTCTCATATGCAACAGA